CCCAATGCCTCCAAATGCCCCCATCCACCCAAACACCCAACTCCCTCTACAAATCCTCCATCAACCTCCTCGGAAGGACCTATCCAGATATGGCTGTTGGAGCTATGAGGCCTATATACCAAACTTGCGCATGCACTCCATACCTCGAGAACCCATACCCACATTGCACAGCTCCGATAGATTTGTCGGAGGGTCTGCCGACAGTAAAACCGCAGGTCTTGGCTCTCAAAATTTGCTAGAGATCTGTGCACACGCACTGATGCAGCTATCACTCCTTGCCCATCCTCTTGCTTGCCTGTTGCAGCTGCGCGGTGCCGCAGCCTGTGTGTGTAGCTGCTTGTTGGGTTAGGGCGTGCTGCCAAGCAGTGAAGCTTGTGTTTTGCCCGCCCGCCCTGTGACACATTGTTTGTGAGTTTGGCCCCATTTGGGCTGTTGTTGGGGGGTGAGCTGGCCAGGCGGCGGTGTGCCACAAAACTGCCTGGCTGGCTGTGGCAACCAGCATTCTGGGAAAATGAGGGTGGCGCGGAGCATTATTTAAACCACCATTGCTCAAGCCACCTCCTTTCGGACTCCCTTAACCTCACCCCAAAAGCAAACAAACCCCTCAAACTTGGCCAGAGGTATGTCCAAAGCCCCAACTTCTACGGAAAAACCCCTTTTCCCCCCACCCACCAAGCTTTTGGAGCTCCATCCCGGATTCCCCTCCCTCCCCTCACCCCAGCAACCCCAACCCCACCCACCCCCCCGCCCACCCGCCCCGATCGAAAACCGCGGCCGTCCGGCCTGATGCCCTGGGGGTAGCTCTCCACAGCCACGGCGCCCAACCGCAGCTCCCCGGGCGCCGCGGCGTCGGACATGCGGAAGGAGAAGACCTAAAGAGCGAGCGCCGCTGGTTCTCTCGGATCTCAAGCCTTCTTGGGGGAAAGAAGCCCAGCTTGCCGAGCCTCAGGCTGTGAGTGGGCGGCAGCTTGGCCGTGTAAAAAACTCGGGCGACCGGCTTTTGCTTCGTGTTGCCCATTAAAACCGGACTGTTGGGGAACCAAGGCCAGGGGGAAACCGAAACAGGGCGTGCGAAGAAAAAGCTTGGTGCGTTGAAGCGGGCATTTTGGCGGCGCATTTTGGGGGGTCAACGAAACCAATCGCGGCCCGAAACAAAGCGGAGGGTTTTCAAGGGAAGCTCGAGTCGAGCTCCGTGCCATTTCGAGTGCCCAACCCTCGCAAGACCCCCGAAATTGGCTGACGCCGTTGCAGGTGATGTACAAATATCAAATCAACAAAATGAAAGTCAAAGAAAGGCAGTTCCATCCAAAGCGGGTCTCCCTTTTACTTGGCGCACATCTGCGAGTCTCCCTTCTGGATGCACGTGTTAGTTTTAAAGGCAAAGCTTCCGGAAGCCAGGCATTCGGAGCTGGACACGCCCGATGAGTTGGATATAGGGACCCCACGCTGGTCTGCATCCTCAAGTTAGGTTCTTGCGCGTGTTCAGGGATGGGGAAAGGACAAAAATCCTGATGTCAATGTCATGTTATACTGTCCCCCCCCCCCCTGCCTCGCTCCCCTTCCGGCCCCAATCCAGGCAATGCTTTGGTAGTGCCCCAAGCAACTCTTAAATACACTATAGCCCTGATATATATATATATAAATATATATATATACTGGGCTCTCAAATCCCCTGCTACAAGTTTAACGTTTAGTGGCTTAAATAGAAATCCCCACTAATCCCTAAAAAGCAAAAAAAAAAAAAGGAGATGGCTAGAAGCCACCAAGCATATATATACACCCATGTATGTCAGTTTTCGGGAATCACCGTGGGTCCAGCCGGTATCCGTCTCCCTAGCCCGGCCTGGTCGCGCATCTTGCCACCATACGCCTTCTGCAGCAAGTCCAGCGGGGTCTGCAGTCCTGCATCCATGAATAACCAATTCTCAGCGTGAATCACGTGTGTGTGTGTGTGCCATGCATCCAGCCAGCCAGCCATCCGTCCGTCCGTCCGTTCGTCCGTCCGTCCGTCCGTCCACCCGTCCACCCATCCATGCATCCATGCATCCATGCATCCACCATCCATCGCGTATGGCTCGGTTTTTCCTAAAGGACTTTCACTGGCACGCGAGACCGGTGCGCGGAGTGTGAAAATAAGAACATGGATCCCCAAGTATTACCATCTTTCTCACGGCTAACCGCACGTTGTGCCTGTGAATCGGGTGAGCTTGCCATAAATACACAAACATAATTATGCCTGACAAACCCCAAAACTCCAAAAACCGGTGAGCTCGTTGAATTTCTTGAGCTTGCCATAAACTCCGCCCAAGGAAAAATCTCTGTGTTTCCCCCCCCCAACTGGCCTTCCGACCGCTCCCTCCCCTTCCGCTCGCTCCCCTGCCGCTGGCCGCTGGCCGCTCCTGTGGGCGCCGCCAGGCCGTTGAAGGCCAGGCCGAAGATGCCGTCGAAGTCCGAGTTGGGAAACGGCGCCGAGACTTGGAAGACCTGCCGCGTGAGCCGCGTGAGCCCCGTGAGCCGCGTGAGCCGCGTGACCGCGTGACCGCGGTTTGGGGGGGGCAGAGAGGGGAGGTGCTCGGGTGGTCGGGTGGTTGGGTGCTCGGGAGGTGCGGGGGCCCTCAAATGATTGGGGCTATGATGGACACTTGAGGGTCCATTTGGCAACCTCCTTCGTTTGGGGTATTGGCATTTTAGGGTTCTTGGCTGCAACATATGGCTGCGGGGACCAAACTCCCTTCTAAAAGGGACCAAACAAACGGGCTGCCCAAAAAAGGCTTTGACCCTGGATTTTGACCCACACCCATATAGTCTATGTGTCCATGGCACAGGGGGATCGGGTGGTCGGGTGGTCGGGCGGATACGGAGCCCCTAAAATGTGGTGGGTCTCAAGCAATGATGCGCTCGGTGATCCTTTAACAAGGCAGCAAACCAAATGTTATAAACCTTCACACTCCCTCGACACTATTAGCAATTTTTACAGCTAATTTATGTGGTGTACTTGGCAACGAATGACTTCTACGTCTTGGTTTATTTGACAAAGGTCATTCTGTATTGCTAGCATTTTTCGCTGGGCGTCATTTGCTGCAGCTGGTTTCGTGTGCAAACCGCCGTGCCCAGTAGCCCCCTTTGAAGCAACTGGTGTCCTTTCATGGTGTCTTTCAACACAGCCAAAAAGGCTTTCCATGCTTTCCTATCTTGAGACTAGCCTAGTTCAGCGTTGGTTTTTATTCCCTGCCGGCTTGCTTGGACATTATTCCAGCTTCCGCGGACCCTTCCGCATCAATGCCGCGGACCTCTTGGTCCCTTCCGCGAACTTCCGCGGCACATGTGTTTCATTGTTTGCTTCCGCAAGCCTTCTGTGGCGCACTTTTTACCTGATTTGCTTCCGCCAGTATTGGCGCGGATAGGAAAGTCATTTTAAGAAAGGAAGGAAAGCAGTGTTTCGCCGCAGCCTGCGTAGGCTTGGGCTCCATTGAGTTAGGGCTACCCTTCCGCGGAGCTTCCGCGAACCTTCCGCAAACCTTCCGCGAAATCCGCCGGCCGTTTCGGTCTTCTTGGCTTGCTGTTGGCAACTGCTCTTCTATTAAGCGATGCGTTTCTTGTACGCAACAACACCTTTCTGCTTCTACTGTAGTCGTTTCTCCGTGCTTTTCTACGCACACAATCTGAAACGTCTGAAACTACGAAACACAAAAAACTAAAAGGGGGGAAAGCAACACAGTAAAGCAGCTGTGCGCTATTTTTCTTGAGCCAAATATCACGAAGTCGAGTGTGATTATCCACACTTCCCTAGGTTGAGCTGTTCGCCCACACCACAAAATGGGCCAGCCGCGGATCTACTTGTTGGACCGCAGCTGTGTTCTTTGCCCAGAGTCAGGATGCCTCCGGGCGATCTCTTCGTAGGTCTTCCCGCGGTGCTTGCTGATCGGCATGCTGCCGGCTCCTTCGCAGCTGCTGCCCTGCTGCCGGCTCCTTCGGAGCTGCCGGCCGCTTCTTCGGAGCTGCCGGCCGCCGCAATCTCCACAAGCTCCTGCTGCCTCTGGCGGCTCCACGCCTTCTTGGCGTCCTTCTCGCCCAAGGAAGGAGGAGCTGGAGGTGGCGATGGCGGGCCTGCCTGGGCTTTCGCCGGAGCCGACGCCGCGTCACTAGGCGCGGCAGCAGCAGCAGCACCTGCCCGTGGCGATGGCGGGCCTGCCGGGGCTTTCGCCGGAGCCGACGCATCAGCAGATGCGGCAACAGCCCCAGGTCTTGCAGAAGCGGCCCCCGCATTTCACAACACATCTTTACATGCGCCAATGCGTCAGGTTGTTAAAGGTGTTTGCTAAACCCTCGCCAGAGCGGCTGTAGCAGGAGGCGACACCCACACTTGAGGCGGTGTCATCCGCAGGCCCCTTAGATACGCAGCTAAATCTAGTTGAAAGGCTTCAGGGTCCGCCTGACATATTCATGCCTGTTTCCAAGAATGCAGGAAGTAACCCACCCACAAATCACATTGCGTCAGGCAGAGCAATTTCATTCAACACTCATTCGCTCAGGGGTGGTGACAAGAATCTAGGCCTTTAGCGCCATGGAGTGCAAACTGACGCTGACGATCAAGAAGGAGTTTGCGACCAAGATCTACCATGGCCAAAAGCAAATAGAAGGCAGACCGGCTTCGAAGACTATGGAGAAGATTGCAGTTGGAGACCGGATCTGCTTCCATTGGTACTTCAAAGAACGTCTCTTGTGCGAAGTTGTGGGCAAAACCAACCGCCCAAATGTCTTGGCGATGCTGGAGGCTTCTGGGGTTGACTCGCTCCTGCCCGGCCTGGACCTGAAGGCTGCCTGTGTGTTTCAGCTGAAAGTCAATTTGTCATAACCGTGTGGTGCAAAATTCTTGGCAACACAGCTAAGCATAGAAACCCGTGTTTAGACTGATCTGGTTCTGCGACATCCATCATGATGAACCCATGAGCAATGACAGGCGTAGGCCATGAGTTGAAGTTTGTGGTAGCGTCATTGTGGCAAAACAGGGGGCCCATGTCTAGATTGAAAGGCTGCAGCACCGATTAACCGCAGGAGGTTTTTCCCTTGGTAGCCGAGCCCTCCTGGAATCTGAAAGAGGAAAAGGGGTCAAAATAATACCATTGTTGAAACCCCTTTTGAACATGGTCTGCAGTAGTCAGATATCAAGCTTCATCCCAAGCTTGTTCCGAGTGGCGTCACCCAGGCCGCTTTACACAAAGCGCCTTTCCGCTGAGACGTTCTTGATAAAGGCCCTTTGTGATCACGCGATGATCTTTGTTGACTTGGGCTTTTTTTGCTGAGTCTTGGGCAGCCCGTTGGCGAAACATGGGAGACTTTGGCTTGAGATTCCCGATGAAACAGCTACAGTTACTGTGCTTTTGTGTGTTGTGGCTGAGGGTCACAGCTCCTAATGCCAAGGCCACCTACCGTGCGCTGGGGAACGCGTACACTGGGGCGACGGTGGCGCTGAAGCTTCGGTCTTTGGCTTGGCATCAAAATGTGAGAGCGAAGAACTCCAAATCTACGGGGTCTGTGGCAAAGAATTTTGTCAAACAAAAATCGGGTTCCAAAGGGGCCGCTCCAGGTCCAACGCGACCGCTGCAAGGATTCTTTTCCGCTTGGTGCGCTTGACAGGGGAAAAAATACAATCTCTTGTCTCACTTGAAAAACCCCGCTAATGCTTAAGGTAAGAGGTTTTTGCCGTGCCAAAAGGGGTGGCGCAAAGGGGTGGCACGAAGCGTGGCAGAAAATTGCGGCCCCGTTTTGGCCGGCAGAGGGGTGGCAAGAAATTGCGGCTACCCGCTTTTCGGCCGGCAAAACAAGGTGAACGCCCGTTTTGGCCGGCACGAAGGGGTGGCAGAAAATTGCGCTACCCTCCTTTTGGCCGGCAAAAAGGGGTCGCAGAAAATTGCGCTACCCTCCTTTTGGCCGGCAAACAGGGGTGGCAGAAAATTGCGCTACCCGCTTTTGGCCGGCAAAAAGGGGTGGCAGAAAATTCCGCCACCCCCGTTTTGGCCGGCAAAAAGGGGTGGCAAAAAATTGCGGCTACCCCCTTTTGGCCGGCAAAAAGGGCTTTGCAGAAAATTGCGCTACCCCCGTTTTGGCCGAAGAAAATTGCGCTACCCCCGTTTTGGCCGGCAAAAAGGGGTGGCAGAAAATTGCGCTACCCCCGTTTTGGCCGGCAAAAAGGGGTGGCAGAAAATTGCGCTACCCCCTTTTGGCCGGCAAAAAGGGGTGGCTGAAAATTGCGCTACCCCCGTTTTGGCCGGCAAAAAGGGGTGGCTGAAATCTGCGGCTACCCCCTTTTGGCCGGCAAACAGGGGTGGCAGGAATTTGCGGCTGCCCCGTTTTGGCCGGCAAAAAGGGGTGGCAGAAAATGCGCTACCCCCGTTTTGGCCGGCAAAAAGGGGTGGCAGCAAATTGCGGCTACCCCGTTTTGGCCGGCAAAAAGGGGTGGCCGGGGTGGCAAACAGTTGCGGCTAGGAGTTGGAGTTGGAGTGGAGTTGGAGTTGGGGTTGGGTTGGAATGGAGTTGTAATGGAGTTGGAGTGGAGTTGGAGTGGAGTTGGAGTGGAGTTGGAGTTGGAGTGGGGGTGGAGTTGGAGTTGCAGTGCAGTTGGGTTAGAGTGGAGTTTCAGTGGAGCCGGAGTGGAGTTGTGTTGGAGCTGGAGTGGAGTTGAAGTGGAGTTGGAGTGGGCTTGGAGTGGAGTTGGAGTGGGGTTGGAGTGGAGTGGAGTTGGAGTGGGGTCGGAGTGGAGTTGTAATGGAGTTGGAGTGCAGTTGGAGTGGAGTTGGAGTGGAGTTGGAGTGGAGTTTGAGTGGAGTCGGGGTGAGGTTGTAATGGCGTTGGAATGGAGTTGAGTGGAGTTAGAGTGGAGTTGGGTTGGAGTTGGAGTGGAGCTGGAGGAGGGTTGGAGTGGAGTTGGAGTGTTGGAGTTGAGTTGGGGTGGAGTTGGAGTGGGGTTGGAGTAGAGTTGGAGTGAAGTTGGAGTGGAGTTGGGGTGGAGTGAAGTTGGAGTGGAGTTTGCGTGGAGTCGGAGTGGAGTTGTAAGAGAGTTGGAGTGGAGGTGGAGTGGAGTTGGCGTGGAGTTCGAGTGGAGTGGAAAGGGGTGGAGTGGAGTTGGAGTTGGAGTGGAGTTTGAGTGGAGTCGGAGTGGAGTTGGAGTGGAGTTGGAGTGGAGTTGGGGGTGGAGTTGGAGTTGGAGTGGAGTTTGAGTGGAGGCGGAGTGGGGTTGGAGTGGAGTTGGAGTGAAGTTAGGGTGGAGTGAAGTTGGAGTGGGTTTGAGTGGAGTCGGAGTGGGGTTGGAGTCGGAGTGGGGTTGGAGTGGAGTCGGAGTGGGGTTGGAGTGGAGTTGGAGTTGGAGTGGAGTTTGAGTGGAGTCGGAGTGGAGTTGTAATGGAGTTGGAGTGCAGTTGGAGTGGAGTTGGAGTGGAGTTGGAGTGTTGGAGTGGAGTTGGGGTGGAGTGGGGTCGGAGTGGAGTTGGAGTGAAGTTGGGGTGGAGTGAAGTTGGAGTGGAGTTTGAGTGGAGTCGGAGTGGAGTTGTAATGGAGTTGGAGTGGAGTTGGAGTGGAGTTGGAGTGGAGTTGGAGTGGAGTTGGAGGAGGGTTGGAGTGGAGTTGGAGTGTTGGAGTGGAGTTGGGGTGGACACCTGCCGTTAGTCTCGTTCTCGTCCATGACCCGCGTCGTGTAGGCCAACACCTCCTCCGGCAACTCCGGGAATTTAGATCTCCACCATTCTCCACCGTTGGTTACCCATTCCGATGATCCGGCGGAATCCAAGAAGTCCAGGAGCTTCATCGCTGCCTTCCGCTCCATAACCGGACAACCAGATCGCAGCCAGCAATCTAGCCTTCCCAGCCGATGATGCCGGTCCAGTTGATCACGAAACCAGCATCCACCAACGTCCTCAATGGCACTATTGGCTCTACCGGCTCTTTCGTCAGCAGGGCAATGGTGTTCCTGTGCTTGTACATCACCGCCGTGCCGCACGCCAATTCCACCTCGCACTCCACAAGTACACCCATTTCTTTTGGACGTGCCTGACAAAGTGGATGCGTGGCGCCACCATCTAGCAACGCCAGCTCCTGATTTGCATCTGCCTCAGGATGGCAGGTCTGCTTGAAATTGAATTTGGCCGCTCTCATCGTTTTGAGGCCGTCACTTCCTTGAGCAAATCCTCCCCCGAACCTGCTGCCACACCACCACTGACTGTTGGCTTGGCTGCACCTGCCGAAGTCTTAGCGCCTCCGTTGACCGTCTCTGGGGGGCTCCGGGACGTTGTTCAGGACCTCTCTGATGCCTCTCCACCCTTCTTCCCGTCCTCCTCCCTTCCTTTGATCATCTTAGACGCTGCCACCTTGGGTGCCACAGGTTCCTTCGCCTTGATGGGGCAATCCTTTTTCGCACCCGACTCCAGAGCATTGAAAGCAGCGGTTCGTCTTCGCGATGCCTTCCCAAGAGCGCGCAGCTGCAACCATTGCCCCTTCTGCAACCTTCGTCTGTGCCCCAAAACCGACACGGGACATCCGGGGCCTTTTTCTTGTCGAAGCCTCCGGGTTTACCATCCTGGTACTTTTGATCTGCAAACGCCTTGAGCACTGGGTTCGTGGCATTCGGAGCTGGAGGTGGGCTTGCCGCCGGAGTTTTGGTCAATGATGCCAAAGCCAGCTCCTCCGACTCCGCCTGTAGAAACTCCGCGTAGAGTTTTATGTAGTCCAGCTCCGGTCTCACGTCCACCGTCAACTCCTGTCTGACCGCTGCGATCCTGAAGCTCCCCTGACCGTTGCCCTTGCTGATGACTCCTCCGACCTTGTTGAGCACCGCCATGAGAACCAAGCCATCTGGCAATGCCAGACCAAGTTCCTCCGCTCTGCTCAACCACCGCCTCCATTGCCTTAGCGTCTGAAGCGCCCCCGCATTGGTGGTCCCAATCTTGTTGTCCGCGAGGTTTTTCAAGAGGGTCCCGCGTTCCGATTGGCCACCCGGTTGGTAGATCTGGTATAGGCGGAACATCACGTTGATCGACGACATTCGCCTCGATGAGATAATATCTCGACGACCCTTCCGTTCCACACGGAAGTTGTGCTCTGGGCCCAAGTCCAGCTCCGGTAGTAGCCGAATCTTCTCCATAGGCCTGTTCTGCTTGCTCTACCACCTTTATCCACCATGTCCTCGCCGAGCCAGCGATGTCCGACATCAGGGGGTTGATCACCGTCACCCAGTCCCCGAACTGCAAGGACGCCATGTCCCCACCAGGGGGCGGTAGCACCCCTAACTCCAAATTCCTTAAAGCCCTGCTCGCAGTCCCATCACCAGCGTCGGTCAGCCGTAGCGGCACCGATCTCGATCTCCTGAGAGCTCCGCGTCTGAGGTCCTCTACGATCAGCCTATCCAAGGCCTGGTCCGCTGTCTCGCCCGCCTGGACCAACAAGTCTTGCCCTTGTCGCCCTTCTGGAAGATCACCTTGCGCTCCAACATGACCTCCAGCTCCGTTAGCAGGCCGCCTTCGACGAAGCAGGTCCATCAGAGTTCCTTTGGGCTCATAACCTACGAAACACAAAAAACTAAAAGGGGGGAAAGCAACACAGTAAAGCAGCTGTGCGCTATGTGTCTTGAGCCAAATATCACGAAGTCGAGTGTGATTATTCACAGAAACAATTAACATATCAGCAACAAAGCTTCCACAAACCTTCCGCGAAAGAAATCCCTTCCGCGAAGCCTTCCACATGCTTCCGTGCGTGTGGCGCGCTGCACATGTTCAATAGCAATGTCCCTCTCCCTACCAAATTAGCTCGCGGCCAAAAAAATCCGCTCCTTGGACGTGATACTTGGTTGCCTTTGTCAATGCGTCAGAGTTGAATTCCCAAGGTCCATTTGAAAAGAAAGAAACAGCCAACCAACCAACCAACCGACCAACCAACCAACCAATCAACCAACCAATCAAGCAACCAAGCAAGCAAGCAAGCAACCAACCGAACAACCATTGTTTGCGTGCCTAAACGGTGGCAGACGCCTCTAATCCCACCCACACGCCCCGAAAAACCAACCCATGTTTAGATGAATCCTTTGCTGAGCCTCAAACACCCCCTTTTTGTTCCACGTCCCACCCCAGCAACACCGAGAATTCACCAACCACCAGACCCCAGAACCCCCAGAAACGCCCAGAAACCCCCAGAAACCCCTCCCCCCTCACTCGCCCACCCCTTCCCTCCCCGTCCGAACTCGCCTCCACAAAGGGCACCTTCTCCAGCGTCAGGTTCCCCAAGGCCAGGCGGTCCCGCGCCAGGAAGCCCTTGCACTGGCCTCCCGCACGGGGTTTTTGTTCTCTCTCTCTCTCTCTCTCTATCACCGCCCCTAGGTCCTCCAGTAGTTTGAGGTTAGAATAAGTTGGTGCCCGCCTTTTCTGGAGTCTTTCTAGTAGGGGAACCCTCTCCCTAAAAACAGGGTGAAAGGGCCATACTGGGGGACCTGACCGAAGTAGCGGGGAGGATCACCGGAGATTTCCGGGTTTTTCGGAGTCCGGAAACGCGGTTCAGAGTTTTCAGATTTTTCAGAAGTGGCTCTAGTGGAAACTACCCTCTCAACCAACTAAAAAGTCGTTTAAAAAGAAAAGGAAGGGTAGGGCTGGGAACCACCAAGATTCCACTCGCGTCAAATTCGGAGTCCGATTCTTTCGTCGGCGTTGGGCTTCCGGGGCGGGGCTGCTCAGGGGGGAAGGAGGGCCGGGGGGGGGGGGGCTTGAACGGCTCACAGCTTAAAAGGACTTCAAGTTGGAAAAGGTTACCCTTTTGGGGCCATGACTAAAAATGGACACTTAAAGGTCAAAAGTAAGGAAGGGATTCCATCGCGAGCTGGTGCGCAAGGCTCACAAGCCGTAGCCCTTGCCCGAGGAGATTCTCAAGCTGAAATGATTCCGAGAGGATTGTTGTTACCAAAACATGTCTGTGGAAAAAGGGTTCAACCCGTTGAGGACGTTACATGGCTCTAGCCCTTGTTCCCTTGGATCGGTTTTTGCCTGGAATGGAAGAAATCCTCTTGGGAGGTGCACGGTGCATCCCCCCCTCCAAAGGCGAAGGAGCGCAGGCTTGCTGAAGGTTTTCGGCCAATATTCCTTGTGAGAACAGCCCATTCTGTTGAGAAACTCGTCTATTTTGCTCTTGGGCGTTTGTTAAGCCATGGTCTGACCAAAAGATGAACGGGGAATAGAATTATAGCTAGACACGCGCAAGCAGCAAGACCGCCGAGCGCCTGAGGCGTATGCGATCCTCGGTGCGTACCAAGAAGAATCCGCGCTTCTTTCGCGGGGGCCGAGGGGGGCCCCAGCTGCGAACCCCCCTCTCCCCCTTCAATTGGATATGATTTGTTCATCGCGGCCCCGTAGACTTACCACGATTTCTCTTCAGCCAAAAGCCAACAGGGGCTTTTTGGATATGCCCGCGGATCTTCCCATTTGCCCAAGCCGCTGCACCCTTCTCAGTTCCACTCCCTCGCGCTCTCCCGGAAAAAAAACGAGACTTGGGTGCGTATTTGTTTGAGGCTCCTTTTCACCTTGCGCCGGGGAAACCCAAAATCAGCTTCCCACTTGGTGGTCTGGAGCCCAATGGTTTGGATATTCGCGCGGTGTCCCATTTACCCACCAGAGGTTCAAATCCCCAAAGCAATCCAAACCACGGGTTAAACTTCAGAGCAAGCGCCTCAAACAACCAGCCCTGGGCAACCTGCGCCTCAAGCAATCCAAACCTCGGTGCCTCGACGACAACGTTGTCACTCTCGCATCAGGTCGCAAGGTCACAACCAAGCCTTCCCTTAATGTTGACCCCGGAGTCATAAACCAACCGGTTTATTACCATGGGGGTGCTTCTCCCTGGGTGACATGTGGGGATTCAGACGACTTTTGGAGTGGCCCCCCACCCTCATATCAATAAAAACGGGGGTTTGTTAATCTGGGGTCAACATGAAGCAAGCAAAACAATACGCATAGAAGACGCGGCGAAATAACAAATAGGTACGTGCACAGTGCACGCTCGGCCACTTCTCCAAATAGCATCGATTGCAATGGGATCATCACACTGTTCCAGTCATAGGACTCCTGCGCCCAGCATCTTCCCTGCACCCTGCATGTGTCACGGTCAAAACTCCTTCCGTGAGCCGATGCTCATGGTTCCCTTACAACGGAACCCGCATGCCATTGCCTAAATCCCCCTAAGCAAACGATGACCGTCCCTATCTGATGTCTTCCAAGCGACTGCACGGGGTACCTGGAGTGCTCATAGCTGGAGGAGCTGGGGCCGTCGAACTTGTTGTGGATCCTCAGATTTCGCTTTTCCTCGCGGACTTTCTCCGGGCGTGCAAAACACGACATGGACGTGCGCAGGCCCTTTTGGAAGCCGACGTTCCTGTTGCACCGGGGCGCTGTGCACCCAGATGTTCGTTGGCTTGGCCAGCCTCTTTTTGGGGTGGTTGTGAAAGGGATGTGAAACAAACGTCGGCTGTCCGGAATCGGGGCTAGAGGCACCCCAGCACCACCCACACGGATGCGTGGATCAATGTTCAGACGGAAGGATGTGCCATTGCCATTGCCGTGTTCAAACCCTCGGACTCAAGTCTTGGTGATGCCTGTCACAGACAATTCTCTCGGTTGTCGCTTAATTTAACATGGAAGCTGATCTTCCGAGGTCCTGGAAGTTGTTTCTTCTGCTTTTCAAGGGACCGAGCCGACTCGTGGATTCCGTACGGATAGGGATGTGTATCACAATGCAACCCAACAAAAGGACCCTTCGTGGACGAGATCACTTGCTCCGAGTACCTGTTCCCCCCTTTGAGGCACTGGAACAATTGGGTGGCGGTTCTCTGACATTGAACTGGAAAGGCACACGGAAAATTTGGCGAACATTGGGATAGAAGAAGCTTTGGTGCTTCCTAGGGATATCTCGTAACAGAAAGAACGTGGTTTTATGTGCGAAGCACATTTTTAGGAAGGGCACCGGTGTCTTTTGGGTATCATCCCAATGTTGGTTGCCTTCGAAAGGGAAACCAAAAGAAAGAAAACTGGCATTTCCCCGAGCTTTCAGACAAACCCAGATCACTGGGACATGGTGAACCATTGGACGATGGAACCCTCCGGCTTCTGCAGCTGAATGTACAGCCTCGAAAACATCCGCGGTCAAACCCCCCACGTTTACCTGTGCGGGTCCGGGCAGCCCGGCGACACCTTGCGCAAATCTAGCCGGGACCAGTCAAACCCCCCGGTGGTTCAAAGGAGGACCTCGTAAAAAAAATCCGGTGGCTGTTGGAACGCACCTTGGAAGCCTAGCGCATTCTCAAACCGAAGACCAGATGCAAAGAAAAAAGACCGCCCCAGAGCCCGGGACGTCTGCAGCTCACCCGGGACCCCGGCTTCAGGGCATCGCAGTTCGCGCACTCCTCCGAGGGCACCCACAAATTCGCCGAGCCTGGGGCTTTGCCGAGCGAGCGAAGCGGCGGCTGAAGCGGTGGTGCACGGGCGCACCGTGCATCTGAGGGGTTTGTTCGACTTTTGTGGGTCTCTGCGACCTGCTTTTTTTTTGGGGGGGGCAGGGGTGCGATGGTTTGTTCGACCTTTGGTTGTCTTGACCTGCAAGCAATTGTGGGGAGCAGCAATTGTCCAACAAGAATCAGGTCGATTCGCTTTGGCTCAATTTGAGAAGACACGCGAAAGGGATCCCCATCCAAAGGATCTCGATAGCACCCATTGGCAATCTTGGCATGCACGTGCGTGAATCAATGAAACGGGTATGTGTCAAAATAGGGCCCAAATGGTGGTCCTCCTTGTGGGTTCGCGCTAAAATAACCAGAAAAGGGAACCCTCAAAAAGAAACAGAGACGCAAATGGGTATCATTCACTACCCAGGCACGTACTGGTTGCTGAAGCACGGGGCCAGGCATTTTTTATCCAGTCGGCGCATGTGGTGCTTGCGCACAAATCAAACATTCCGAGCCTCTGGATTGATATGAGACACTCAAAGCACCAAGCCCTCCCAAAACCCCGCGAGATTCGCTGGTTTACAACCAGCGAAGGCGCAAGACTTGATGAAACAACCAAACCGCTTTGAAGGGGAACCAAAAGGAGATTGTGACCAAACAAAAGGTGTTCAAACATCCTGAAAAAAAGGGGAGGGGAGTGGCCGAACCCTCGCTACCCTCTGCCCAACCCGCAGCGGCCTGTATCGAAGACCACCCGGAACTGCTGGGCTGGTCGGCCCAAGCCGATCACACCTCAAAGTGCACAGGGAGGGAGCCATCTGAGTGATGAAATCCAGGGGCGAAATATGATCCAAGAAACAGAGAGTTGGAGGAGGCAAATGCTGGAAAGCCAAAAGAAGTTCTAAAAGGGCCTCTTGGTTTCCATGCGGTCAAATTGTCAGGTTCATAGGATGTTCGGACCTCCCTACGACTTTGCCACCTTGCAACACAATGTTGTCTCCTGATTCAGAAGCCCACCAGTGAAGCAAAAGGGGGTGTCCTGCCTTCTGATACATGCAGGGGAGGATTCTAATCCAGGGTCAACATTACCAGAAACGTCCTTCGTTCAGCGCAAGCCAAGGCGCCATAATAAATCGCATCATCCTCGTTCAGGATGTCGATCTGGCCAAACGGACGGCATATGCAGAAACCAAATGTGCGAAGATCAAATCATACAAAGATGCAGGCAGGCACCAGGCTCCAAACTCGAAAGGCCAGAAAGATCTGCTCGCGGCTTGAACCAGCACCCTTGGACAGGATCCCAAGAGGGGGGGGTTGCTGTTGTTTTTTGTTTTTTTTTGCCAGCCCAAAAAGGCACAGAGCCTCAAACAAAAAGACAAGTAATTCGAATATGTCAAGCAGGGTCGTCGCTCTTGACTTCGTGGTGTGTGAGCCGCTGGTTTGGTTTGGTGGTCTGGTGGTTAAGGAGGGGTTTTCCATTTACCCTCTACAAAAGCCAGGGGGTCAAATCCGAATCCAAACCACCAATCCAAACCACCAACTAAGAATTGCCTGATAGGCGAAACAATGGATGGCCCGCGCTGCAAAAAAACACCAAGAACTTCGGGGCCCTTTTTGGTGCACATCAGTCAGGGGATTTATGTCCAACCAGAAAATTGTGTTCCAACCATGAAAGTCCATGGCCATTTGGAGCATGGCGAATGCGCAGGTGGGGAGAGCAGAAAAGGGGGTCAAGAGATTCACCAGACCTAGCGTGTTGGGCCTGGGCCAAAACCTTTTGAGCCTCTGGCCCATGTTTTGAAATGCTCACAGACCAAACCCTTTAAAAACCGAAGATTCAAATGGTCACAGGAATATCTACAGGACATGGCCTCAAAACACAGCAAAAAAGCTGGTTTCCTGTGGATTTTCCTGCAACGCAACCCTTTGAAAGATAGTCGACAGTTCAGGTCGATTCGCCTTGAGGTCAAACTTGCTTCCCGAAGCCCCACGCTTGCAGCCAGCCTCTGTTGGGAACATGGCCTTGTCTGCAAGCTGTATATACCTGCGCCGCTGCCAACCAATGTTAGGCTGAATTCTGGTGAGGCCCGGAAATTCAGGACACCTTCTCGAATGCCGATGGATGCGTCCCAAGGAGGCCCCCGGTTTTTGAAGTCCGTTGGTGTCTCCAGGCTCTTCCTCTGCGCGAAGGTGTTGCGGAGTGTGGCATCGGCCGGATGAAACTCACTTGGCTGTCACAAATCGGGCAACCCAAAAATGGCTTGCCTGATCGCTAAGTGGAAACATGCACCAAAAATTATGCGGTCTAAAATGCTGAATTAGTTTGGACCCATACCCACTTGTTGATCGTTTGCCAGGTGTTAAGCCTCTGTGCCAGTTCATAATCCGTTTGGCAATGGTGCGGGTGGTCCGCCGTCCCGGTGGTACCTTTGTTCCAGCTGCTGTTCCGACGTTCCTCAACATGCATTTGGAACCCCTGGTTTTGAGGCTGACATCTAGGGCTCGTCCCCCATTTGCCAGCCCCAAAGTTGATTATTTAATTCCAATACCATCAAATGCTTGGCAAAGTTTTGGATGCTGCATCATGAAAGTAAGCAATCGCTCCATCTGGGAAAACCCACCCACGAATGAGATGTGGCCCAACATCTAGATACAGTGTTGGCTTCTCAAAATAACCCGGCCAAATTAATACGATTCCAACATCGGCAGCAAAGAAATCCCAAGCAAGGAACCTTCAAGGTCAGCTTGTTGGTGAGCGCGTTAAATTTGACCTGCTCTGTGTCTGGCAAATCATCCCACTCCGCCCCATCACCGCTGCAAATATGTTCAAAGTCGCAGCCAGCAAAGGCACCTTTGGCTGCCAAACCCCTCCTTTAGCTCCGGCGGCGTCCGTCGCGAGACGAAGGCGTCGCCTCTTCCAGAAGCGCTCGTGGGCCCGCCGGCGGCTGCGTCCTCGCGGGGTGAACTCAGACCGAGTTGGGAATGGTCACGCATCCCCTTGAGAGCTGCAACCTCGAATCCTCCAAAGGCATAGCGCCCAATCTCACGCTTTTCAACGAGCCGCAGTCTTAGAAGGTGTTCTGCAATCTGAGTGACAGACGTCTGGGATCCCTTTGTTGGCCACAGGGCAATGAAGCAAAAGGGCACGACCAACCAAGGTGACGGACCGACCGACCAGGGCGACCGACGGACTGGGAGACAGACCGGTCGAGCCAAAACCCCAGCACCACGCAGCAAAACGGCCGCGCCAAACCTAGGAAGAAAAAAACTCGGGGCCCCATATCCTGGTGGAAACACAAAAGCGATGGCTAGAACATTCTTGTCAGGAACCAGTGGCTGCGGCTCAAAATCCCACCCCCGGCCCCCCTCGCCCACCCCACAACCCCAGGTTTGTAGGGAAAAAGCATGATTGCGTGGTTTCTTGGGCTCTTTGTTTTGAGAAACACCAAGCTAGTTGACAAACAATGGAAATCCTGCAGCAGGTGGGAAGCGAAACGTGATTGCCTCCACACCACAAGCAAATCGGAGCAAATACGATATAACTGCGCGCTGCAACCGCCGGGTGGCCATGCGCAAGGCGAGATTGCAGGCTTCACCGCGCATCGGTGAGCTCTTGAAGCATTTTGTGATGAGACAAATCCATCTTCGGCTTTTCTCTCCAACCGGGATCCTTCCCCTAATCCAACTCACTCCTGCGATCGGATGCGGCGCCGGCAGCTTCATCACGGGCCTACAAGCTTCCAGGAGCGCTAAATTGGCTTCAACCAATAGGCACATCTTCCTTGAGGGGACCCCCAAAATGGCTTCGCTGTTCCTTTAGATCTCCCTGAAACACCAGGCATAAGGAGGTACCAACTCAAAAGATCACTCATGGGCTCATCGGGTAGGATGCCAAATGGGCTCAATACCTTGGTGCAATGGCGCAAGCTGGAAACTGTTGGAACCTGTGCGTTCGGCTCCCCCTGAATGGGTCTCCTGGATGCTACACATGGTTGTGGTAAATGAGCCCCTATTACAACAAATGTTCTGCTACCTAAAGGTAGCCTAGCCACGAAACCAAGCAATTTGACGCAAACACCAGGACCCTTTTTTGGGACCATCTTTCTGGAAATCCAGATCGTTGAAGGGATCGGCTCAACCTCACCCCTTTTTGGAATGTTGGGCACCGAGAGGGGCTCCAACGAGACTCCTCCTAAGGTCTTGAGGTTCCATGGCAGTTTTCAGAGTCAAGATGTACTTCACAACCCTTGGTAGCAAAAAGCTGACTGTCTTTGCAGCCCCCTGCCAAAATTGAACAGAACAAACAAAAACTTGCCAAGAACAGTGAAGTGTAAGCACCTTCGGGGCTGAAGATGTGGGACACCGGATAAATAAATCCCTGTAGAGGCACCATCCGTCATGGAAGCGGGCGGGGGGGCACCTCTTTCGCGGAAATTTGTTGTTTCTGTGTTTCGGTTTCCCAAGCCGGCTCAGGGTCGAGTCAGAATCAAAACCCGGTAGTAAAATGGGCTACCCAGAACCATGTAAAGAGCTAAGAAGCCAAATATCCGCAGCTATTTATGGTTGGGATTGTCCCTTACTAAGCTTCATTTACCCAGGTTTTGATTGTGGCTCAAGGTGGGTTTAAGGGAAGACGTAATTTCACAGCTCCAGTGCTTTAGATAATCAGAAAATATACGAATAAGCGCCCCACAACAGGCGAGTGGCGCAAAATGCGCGGAAGCGGACATCAGGTGCATCACAAAAGGCAGGAGATTGCTTCCTTCTCAAGGGAACCTCCAAAACCCACTCTCTCTCTCTCTCTCTCTCTTATTTTGTTTTTTTTTTTTTTGGGGGGGTCCCCTAAGACACCGCGCCTATGGTTGGGTCTTATGCCATTTGAGGTCATCTAGACCCTTGACAGAATGCCAAGCGGCAGTGACAGCACCACCTCCTCGGGAGCAGACCTCAGCCCGAGCCGAGGTTCGACTCAAGACACAGTAGATCTTCCAACCCACATCGCGTGTTTGACTCCCTGGTCCGCTCCCCGCTAGGCTGAGGTCTGTGTTTGGTGAGGCAGAGTGGCCGAACTCAAACGGGCCACCTGAGATGGATCCGCGAGCCTCTTCTGCTCCAAGGGGCCCAGTTTGCACGGGCCAAGATTGCCTGCAAAGCTGCTCGCATAGATTGCAGAAACGTCAACTCCTTTAGGTTTCAGTTTGAAGGAGGCCAACCGGGATTGGAAACCTTATTATTATCCATGTTCACAAGAAACTACAACTGTTTTGGTCCGCTTTTTTTTCAGATTAACGAGACCCTTTCATTTCCCCGCGCAAGAACAAACAAAGGCAGATCAATGAAACGGCCAAGGAGCCGCTCGGCGATGGAAAACCACCCTTGTGATACCGAGCTCTGCCAAGATTTTGCTAATATCTTGGTATCACAGAAAGTGGCAACCCAAAAACCGCCATTTCCCGCAACCACTGCCTGCTGCTCGGAAACCTTCTATTTGCTCACTTGCTCGCGGAAAAGAAGTCGTCCCCTGCTCGAATGCTCATCCCTAGACTGGGTGTTGCGATGTTTGGGCAAAATGATGAACATCTATCGGTTATCCATATCTTTGTGGTCTCTTGCTGGGAAAATCAACAATTAGGGTCAGGGTTCCACTTTTGGACTACCCCAGGGTACACTTAAACTCAGGGGTGGTTCATTCCCCCAAAAGGAGAACGCCTGGGATACCTGAATACCTCCATTTCCTTAAGTCCCCTGGAAAAAATGAGAAAAAGAACATGTGTCCAGTAGTAAAATCGATTCCCTTTCAAACCAACAGGGGAAAAAAAGAAACACATTCCGAACCAACTGGAAGAAATTTCGGCATTTAGCTTCCAGCTCGCCAGAGCGACTTGCCACCTTTGACCACCCAAGCGCAGGCCGGGCTGCTGAAGCACCGTGGCACCTGCGCCAAGCACAGGCTTTCGCCCCCCCGGAGAAAATGAGAACATATGTTCAGTAGCGATTGATTCCTTTTGAAGCCAACAAGGGGGGAAAACAAACTTAAGCAAATGGAACGTTGGTGAATGACCGGTTCGACAAAGGAGATTCTCCTGTCGGATGCGCCACTGTCCTTTGGGAGCGTGTTGCCTAAAGCGAGGATCCACTGATGGTTACCATTTGATTTGTGGAACCATTCTCATAGCGGGGAGCCTACTTCAGGAAAAAACGAATTCCTGGATTCAGTGCTCCGAAATCCTCGGCAGGGTGCACAAATGGTTGTAGAACAGGAACCACAAAGAAACCAAACCAAGTTTCAAGATCCGACCCTTGACGCTCAATCAACTGGTGAACTATCCCAAAATCGCAGGGTTCCCTTTGGCTTCCCGTCAAAACAACAAAGCGGGTACCCTTAAAGGACACACGCGAATGGTTCCAGACAACTCCCGACAGCCACAACCGCAGCAAAGGGGTCCCCGACCTCACATGCGAAGTCTTCCTGTCCTGAACGTGTCGCCAAGAGCGTCCCCACTAGTTGGTTTGGACGCTTTCAAAGTGAGCAAAAAGGGCACCGGCAAAAAGATCGCCGCTTCGCCGCTTCGCCCTAACTCGTGGTTTCCCCCCCGACCTCCGAAACTCAGTTGAACTAATCAGGTCCAAAGCCTCCGGAGCCAAACCATCCAACAACGTGGACATGCACGGACAAATGTGCCACGTAATTGAGGGAGGCTAGCCTCACTTTCATGGCCTTGGGCAATGCTCGAATCCCCCGCCGGCTTAAGAGCTTAAGGGGTACCCGCCAGGTCTTGGTAAATTATACCTCTCAATCTATGCTAAGTAAGGGGCCTTCATCACGGGAGAGCCCATTTTAACTCCCAAATGAGCGCTCTAATTTGTCAGGAGAGGTTGATTACCCACAAATCGAACTTTCCAATACCACCCCCTAGCAATGCCTTCAGCACTGCTCCCAGGAAATATCGGAGAAGCAATGGGTTCCGTTGAAGTAGGCGAAACCCCGTGTTCTGGAAGCCAGCCAACAGGGGGTGGGAAGCGATCTCAGCTTTGCGCACCCGAACCACAAGCCTTTTCAAGCCTTTTGTTCCCTGATTCTGGCCAATCATTAAGCCTTTCTCAACAGTTCCAGAATATGGGTCCACTGGTAGGCATACTGTGGACGGACGAAATCCTAATTTCTTGGCATTACAGGGGAAACATGATCGGGTTTCTTACGTGGCGCGAAACGGATTTCGTCATTCCACAGTCCACTGGCATAAGATATGGGTCAAAAGCCCGTACCCCACTAACATCGCCTAAAATGGGTGGTGAATTCACCTAACCAAAATGGGATCCAAAACGAAGATAGTCTTGAGCCATTGGGAGCCCACTGGTTTTGAGCCAGGCCGCGCACCCCAGCCCCGCGATTTCTGGGCCTTTGAGGCACCGCCCCGCCAGCATGGCCACGAGGCCCATGCAGCAGGCCGCCAGGAAGCCTCTGCCAAAGCCCACCGAAACGCCCCCGGGGAAAAGCGACACAAAGCGGAAGGACCCGCCAAAACCCATGCAACATGAACCCCCCCGAACCCCCCCGAAACCCCCCGAAGCCCCCCGAAACCCCCGAAACCCCGCGATCCGCACAAAACGGCAGGACCCACCAAAAACAACATAAAGTTGCACTGCTCACGCCATGCCATGGACTCCTGCGACGCTTTGTAAGCGGGATCTGCTTGCCATTCTGCATTCACACACTTCGAAACCTGAGAGATCCGCTCTGCCTCTTGCAGCGGTCTAAAAGCATGCGAGCTCGTGTGCTCTGTTGCAACATGCGCGAGCATCAACGCAGCCGAGCTCTCGAAAGAACGTCGGCCCGCTGTTCCTCATGTGCGCTCTGTACAAATCGTGAGAACCAAAATCTAGTTTCCGCCATCCCGCAGCATGCCCTGGGTCCATCCCGCCAGCACCTGCGCCACCTTGCCGGCCACTGCGCCCACCTGCGGAAGCCGTGCAAGTCATGGAGGGGAACCACAAAATCCGCTTCCCCGGCAAGGCGTTTCCGAACAAATCCGCTTCCCCAACAATGTGAAAGCCTCAAGCGAACCAGTCGGCGGGCTCCAGGAAGAGACGTACCCGGCCGGTAAATTCATTGCCTAGCCCTCCAAAACAAAAAAAACGGAGGGGCAGGAAGAAGAGGTGCACACAGATTGGGATTCCACCGGAGCTTGCCTTGTGGCTTTGTGCCCTGGGTTTGGCGGGAACCTGAAGATGGGCTCGGAGTGTAAGACCTAGCCGGGCCATCCAAGTAGGGGCGGTTCAAAGTTTCCCGGGCACCACTTTTTTCCCCTCAAGCTGCTACGTCACCTCAAACGCGTCCCGGTGCTTGGCGTGTTTTTCCTTTCAAAGCCCAGAAACGAGACGTGGGGCCAAAGTGCTGCTCAGCCGGAAACAATTCAAACCATGGACCCTTCGAGTTAAAATTTGGGATCATGGGCCCCAGGCCCAGTGGTCTTTTCCCCAGGCCAGTGGGCTGGGCTTTGGTTGGATCCGAACTTTTGCCCTTTTTTTTCAGAGGATCCAAGTGCTGAGGATGGCTTTGTCAGCGCAAGAAGGGGGAATTTCTCTTAGGTACCCCCAGGACCAGAGGGTTTTTAAGATCCGTCGGCGCCTTCTTGCTCTTCACGAAGTACTCGTTGGTGAGGTAGCTGATGCTCACGCAGATGGCCAGGTAGAAGGGGAAGAAGGTGTGGGGCATGGGCTTGCCCCACAGCTTCCTGGCGATGACCTTCTTGTAGAAGATCTGGGAGGGCGAGGCAAAACTGATTCAAACCTGGTGGGTGTCTGTCAAAATAGAAACACCCACCAAAAACGGGCGGTTTCCCTTTAGCTGCCAGTTGGACCCAACCAAAAAATACAAGTGCCCACAAAAAAAAGCCACGGCGTTTCGCTCCGACATCCGTAGCGATTAGGACACCCCTACAATAAGGAGCGTTTCATGGCGGGGGTCCCAACCAAAACCATATGTCGTTGCGACCCTGTCATCCCTGGTTCTTCGGCGCAGACCTGTCTCCAAA